GTCAACAAGCACATGTAAAGATGCTCAGGGCCATTAATAATTAGGGAAATGAAAATTGAAATCACCATGAGATACCATTTCACATTTATTAGATTGGCTAGAATAAAAAGACAGTAGGTGTTGGTGAGGATGTGGAGAAATTGGTAGCCCTGTACATTGTTGATGGTAATATAAAATTATGTAGCTATTGTAGAAAACAGGTTCCTCAAAAAGTTAAACATATGATCCAGGGACTCCACTACTAGATACACATGCCCAAGAGAAATGAAAACATATCCATACAAAAACTTGTATATTATTGTCTACAACAGCAATATTCCTAATAACCAAAAAATAGAAGGAATTCAAATGTCTAAGATAGACTGTGTCAGATACATGTAACAATTGATTCTTACTCTAATAATAATTACTAATCAGCCATAAATAGGAATGAAGTACTGATACATGCTATACCATGAATAAAATTAAAACATTACACTAAATGAAAGAAGCCAACAGAATTAGATAAAATATCCAGGACAGGCAAATCCATCAAGACAGAAAGTGGTTGCCAGCAGCTGGGAGAAGTGAGGCATGAGGAGTCACTGCTTAATGGAATGGGGTTTTCATCTGGGGTGATAAAAGTGTTTTGGAACTTTACAGTTGGTAGTTGCACAGTATTGTAAACGTGCAAAATGCCAATGAAATCAACATTCTTTAAAATGGCTAATTTCATATAAATTTCATCTCAACCAACAAATGTGCTGCTACATTACCCAGAGCTCTTCCCTGTGTGGCACGTAACCTATGTGCCTGACAGTGCAGCATGTGTACTACAGAAAGGATGCCCCCTTCCAGTTCTAGACCACTGACAGATGCAAGACCTAAATACAAAGAACTGATGTTGAGGAGGTAAAATTGCAGGTACCTGTTTTTATCTTTAATGCTTGTACAAATAGGTCTCTTTCTCATACACACATACACATACTCTTTCTTATTCTGATGGCTCCGATGAATATACCCCTATCACGGTTTATCCAAAAAGACTAGATAGAAAGTCTCTCCAATCTAGTCAGAATAAGTCTTGTGGGCTTTAGAAGTCGCTTGTGGTAACAGACCCGACAACAACAAACCTTTCCTTCTTCTAAGCAGTGAAGTTCGAGTTTTTTCTGGCATCCTTGACCTCTACCTTTTTTAATGGACACTTTTTCAGAGCTTCACATTCCTTAGCCTCAGCTCTGGGTGGCCACACACACTTCCTTCCACGTGCCTCCATTTCTAAGTTTCCTCACGTTCTTGACAAAGCATTGCAGACCTTCGGCTTTCCCTCTAACCTTGCCTAGAATTTAAGGGAAGGCAGTAGGCCAATGTCAACCATGACACCCAGAAGCAAGAGAGGAGGGTCTAAAAAATTATCAGCTCAAAATGAACCATGATTCTACTTAAAGGAAAGAAGTAGCACAAAGAAGAAAACCCAGAGGAATTTCTATCAAACAGCCACTTTTCTTTCCTAACATGGTCTTTACAACCAAAAATTAGATCAGATATGTTAAAACCACTCAATGAAACCTAAAAATAACTTTTTCTTTATCGGAAAAGTCACAACAAATGATGGATTTCAGTCACAGAACAAGTATTTATTGAGGAACACATATGTTCCTGGCATATGAGAGTAGTCAAAGAGCACACAGTCTAGCACACTTTGGAAGCCTTGCTGAAGGCATATGGTATTCAGGAGCAGCCCATGCATTTGATAATTCACCTAAACATCTCATCAAATTAAAATATTCTTAGCATTTTTCTTGGTCTGTTTTACCTACACAATGAGGTAGAATATTCTCCTTCCTTATAACACTTCTCATATTCTGTGTTATGGCCTTGTTTGCTGCAGTGTCCCCTAGTGGGACAGGGCTTTGAGCAGAGGAGTACAGCTTGCTCCTCTCTGTCCACCATGACTAACAGGTGCTGTTGACTCTATGAAAGCACATGCAGTCCCTTAAAGACAGAGACCCTGGTTCCTGCTGGCATCTCCAGCACCTCCTTCCCTCACCTTGTCTTTATCTTTCTTCAAAAACCTAACTTGACCAGTCCAGAGGCTCCCCTTTATAAATATAATTCCTTTCTAACAATTGCTTTTTCCTTTTACAAGAAAAGTTTTAATGCCCAACAGGATGTCTGAATTTACCTTCAGCCACAATCAGAATTGTTATTTGTATTCTTAATTTCACTACAAATAATCAGTTGGTTTTGGTTTTATATTCACCTAGGCTGTTTATACCAGAATATGATTTCCTTGAAACATAATCTCTTCCTTTGAGCCCTAACTGCCCCTCCTAGATCCTAGGCTCTGAATCAGCATACTCCCTACCTTGAAGTTTAGGACTCACTAAATATCTAGCACAATATTTTCAAGTGAAAGCAAAAAAGAGATGCTTATTACATGAAGCAGGATATAAACTTAAAAAGAAAATACAAACAAGCCCAAGTGTTAACAAATTAGAACTTCTGGGGGAAAAAGCATGCCAAATGAATTGCTTTTCCAAAGAATTCCATGTATTTACATCTGGAGGACAATAAAAGGATTAAAAAGAAAATATTTAATTCATTAGTTTTAAAATAAGGACTGGCTGTGTTACAAAAATAAAGGTTAAAAATACAGATATATCTTATGTACTCTCCCCATCAATAAGAGATTTTGGAGGATTTGGAGAAATTCGGAGTATTAATGCATCTTTCAAGTTGCATTGTCAGGTTTCACCATCACTTCAAGGATGTATAGAATAAAATCAGTCTATTACAAACACATGAGAGAGAATCTCAGCTTCTGCAGGGCAGGCTGTTCATGATTTTAGAAGGCATGGACAAAGAACCACCAGCTCTTGCTGTCTTGTAGTTTAGCTAGTCATTTGCACATTTCACTCTGTTTTTACTATGGCTCTGCTCAAATGGCTGAGAGAGACAGTTTGGTAGGAGAACTCTTAATTCAGACTCTGTGCTTTGCAGTGCTGGGACCTTCCTGTTCTGCTAAAGGACCAGGATTCCAATGTCATTCCACAGCATGAACTAGCAGAGGGACATGGGCTAAAAGGCTACAGAACAGACCCAAATCTCTGATCCATTTCTGTGTCTCATATGACACCCATCAAACCACTGGTTCTACAGAAACCAAAATGATTCCCCAAGAAGTCAACAGGAAAGTGCAACTATGTGTTGAGAGTAGGGGGTGGGGGCAGGGGGCAGAACAAAGAGTTAACTAGCTCTACCAACAGTCTCCTTCTCAAAGACTCTGTCCTCTATGGTAGCTTGCCATGTTCCACCCAATAACAGCTGCTCATGATAATCAATGTCTGACAGATCAGAGAAAGCCCTTAATGTGTCGCCAAGGGGCAGTTCAACAGATGGCATGGTGACTTACAACCAGAATCATTAATTACACTCTCTGATTAGTCCCAGGGCACAGTGCTGAAAATGCTTTCTCAGTGAAAGATGAGCATTTCAGATAAATGACCGTCTGGTACTGCCTGCAAAACTCCCTTTAGGATTTCTGGTCAGCGCCAATTTCTACATTTTTACAGTTGTTTCCCACCTTCCATGTTCAGGTTGGCTAGGGATATGGAGTCCCCACCACCACCGGCCATCTCAGCTCCCACAAGCACTGCAGATTAGGATATGGTGAAAAGTGCCACCACTCATTCCCCTCTCAAGCCAGCTGACTGTGGGTTAAGAAATATAGTCAGCACTAGCTCCATGTCCCCTCCCTGAGTGCCAGGGAACATGAAGGGGTGGGCTGGCTTTCCCTCTCCCTCATCTCCTGAGTGGGCTCTCAGAATATAATGTGACTGGTTTTCCAATTCAGAACTGTCCTCCCTTCACAGAACCATTGACCATAGCTCTTTTCTATGTATCTTAAAAAGAGAAAAGTAGACACTCCTAACAGAAAGGAGGCCTAGCAGTTTAAGGCAACAAAATAATCCCCAAATGTCCACACTGCTGACTTTGTTATCCCATGGGACTAGGTACTGTGTACTTAATTAAGAAGCCAAATAAGTGCATAGTGAGGAAACGCTTCTCAACTTGCTCCCGAGGGCACCCAGACTTATGCCCTTGGCCCAGGGTAGAAATGAGTTCCTTTTTGACAGTTTGAGAATCTAGCTCCAGATACATTACAGAAGCCAGGTGTAATTACTGTGGCACACCTGTAATCCCTGTGATACAGGAGGCTGAGGCAGGAGGATTGCAAGCTTGAGACCAGTCTTGGCAACTTAGAGACCCTGTCTCAAAATAAAAGGGTCTGGGGATGTAGCTCAGTGGTAGAGCACCCCTGGTTCCAATCTTTAGTACCATAAAAACTAAAAAACAAACAAAACAAAAAATTACTGTGAAATTTTAGAACTGACAAAGACAGAGCATGGAAGCAGATAATGTATTTGCCTTAGCAGAGATATAAGAAATAAACCCCAAAATGACCAAAATAAAAAAAAAAAAAATTAAAGCATTTCCTAAATATCACCAAATAAATATTCTTTGATTTTGTTGACCATTTCTGTACTTTGATTTTTTTTTTAAATGAGGTTAAACTAAAGTAATATTAAGGTCCTAAATGCTGTCATGAAGAGTTCACTGTTTTCTATAATCCAATTAGTTCTTTCCTGGACACATGAAAACATGACTTTGATTTTTAAGTAGGCTCAAATAATGGATGGTCCCATCATTTTTTTTTTTTCCTGGTTATCTTGGATTAAACCCAGGGGTGCTATACCCCCAGCCCTTTTTAATTTTTATTTAGAGGCAGGGGCTTGCTAAGTTGCCCAGGCTAGCCTTGAACTTGTGATCCTCCCGCTTCAGTCTCCCAAGTAGCTAGGATTACAGGCATGTGCCACAGCACCTAGCCATCTTACAAATTTTTAAAAGATAAAAATGTTAACTAAGACATTTTAAAAAAAGAAAAAAGAAAAAGAAAAACACCCTCCCTACAGGAAGGGAGCCTCAGGCAGCCTAGGTCTGCTTTGCAATGTACTCACTTCTAGCTTTTTCTCCTTTTCTGACAACACGTCTTTCTGGTTCTGGGTGTACTCCACGAGCATCCGAGCCAGCTGGCGCCTGTCTTCCAGTTCCGCAGCGAGGCGCCCGTTATATTCTGCTAGTAACAGACATGCTTCATCTACTGTTTTTGAAAGACGTTCAGCTGCCTCTTTGTCTGAGTAAAAATGAGACCAAAAAATAGAAACAATAGAAATCACACAGGTACAACTGCAAACATTTCTGAGGGGAGATTTGCAGTTTCTCTCCCATTATGGATTCCAAAAATAAGCCAGAACCTATGGACAAACAATGATCTGGCTGGCAAGAAACCCAAAGGCTCTGTCTGACTCTGTCAACAAGACAGGACATTCCTGAATCACCTGAAGGGAGGCAACTGTGCAGGGGAGAAATCTGGCAACAATGTTTGAACACCCATTCCTACAAAAGCTCTCTGAACAAAACAAGCAAAAATATAATTAAGGTCACCCATGAAATACTTTTTCCTCATCTGAGAAGTTCAAGGGCTTTTGCCTATGTTTTTCATTAAATATTCTTTTTATATCCCTCTGAAATTAAAAAAAAACACTCATTGTTTCAGTGTGGAAACAGATAAAATATGATCAATGAGAATTCAATATGTGGTCAGCTGAGTTGGGCCTCAAAGTCAGATCTCTAAACCTACCTCTTCAACTATGAAAACCTGAAGCCTGAACTCTTTTCCTGCATTCTGCAAAATAAAGGTTCTGATAAGGAGCAGAGGCTTTCAAATGTTTTTGAACATGACCCACCATTGAAATATATTTTATGTAAACACATAGAAAAATAAACATTTCTTAAGACAGTACTTACAATTACTTTGTGCCAAGTGTTCTTTCATTCTATTCTGCTTTTTAAAAAGGGTTGGTCATTACCTACTGGACAGACCTCATGTCCAATAAACGGCTCCCAACCCATGCTTTGTGGAGGGGGAAGAAACAAACCTGTCCTGAGCAATAAGAAAGGGTATCTTTGGTAAGAAGTGGAACAGAGACTAAATGCAAGGAAATGAGAAGAAACAAAAGGAAGATTTGTATTTATAAAGAACTGCTGTAATTAATTATGTGTGGTGAGATTAGGACTTGAAATGTGTTACTTCTTATTCTTAAAAGACCTTTAAAGATCAAAACAGTAGGTAAATGCTTTGAAATAAAAAGCTCCAGACTCCAACAGTTCCATGAGACAACTAAAAAGTGAGTTCCTGGTGATACACATCTGTCACAGGCTGTCCGAGGTGAGAGACCTTGGCATTCTTTGGGTAACTGAGATTTAAGAATTTGTACCATCACATCTGTTTGGCAAACAGCATACATGCCTCCTTAACATGAATACTGGGAGGTGAACTGGTGAGGCGTTCCCAACTGGGCCTGATGCCAAGATCAGACACTTCTACCTCCTCAGGGATAAGGAACAAAAGGATGTTCTGGGTGAAGGGAAAGAGTGAGCAAAACAGGGCCCAAAGAAAGGGTTTCCATCATGGAGGGCAGAGAGGACTAGGACTCTTCTTCCACATCAGTGAAGATGGTCTGGGAACAAGCTGTTGAGGACAACAAGCAGGCTAGTTTTAACATTATCATTGCTTGATTAACTGACTTTTTTTTTTTTTTTTTAGTGGTTAACTCATTAAGATGTTTTAGTGCCTGGGGAAAACAACAAGGGAATCACTTTTAAGATTTAAGATTTTTTTAAAAAATCAATTCTCACCCTTAAGAACCGCACAAAGGAAATAAATCATTTGTCCAAACAACTGCAACTCAGAAAAATAACTTTTTATTGTTTAAGGAGTCATAAAAAATTGTAGTCCAAATGTAGAAGCAAGATCTAGCTTCGGGGACTTACCTGTGACTGTGCTCTGGCACCTTGCCCTCCCTAACGAGCCAGATGAGCACTTGTGAGGCTCTGTGGCCACCCTCCACTTGTGCATGGACACCACATACCTCCCAAGCTGATGCGAAGACTGTGTGACAGTCCTGTATTTCCCTGCCTAATGGATTCCTCTCCCCTTTCTGAAGCATTACTATCAGCATATCAATGGACAGTGTGTGTTCCAGCCACTCTCCAGCCACTGCCCACTTCCCCAGTCCTCTTTCACAGAAAATTCAAAGGCTGTCTCTACCCCTGTAACTACCCACTCTCCTCCTACACCACTAAATCCACTCCAATCAGGACCCCCCAGACCCCATATTGTGGATGGAACCCAGGGGTGCCTTATCATTTAATTACATCCTCTTCTTTTTTGCTTTGTATTTTGGGACAGGGTCTTGCTAAGTAGCAGAGGCCAGCCTTAAACTTGCAACCCTTCTGCCTCAGCCTTCCAAACTGCTAGGATTACAGGTGTGCACTACTGCAACCAGGCTTTAAAACCTGTCAATCCTGTGTGTTCAATCTCTCAACCATCCGAACAAATACCTGAGCTCTTACTGAGTGCAGTGGTTCTCAGAGACAGCAGGTGACAAAGAGGACAAAAACTCTGCCCTCCAGGTAGGAAGAGAAACAACACATAATACTGTATGCAGAAGGGAAAGAATGGGTCACTGGGGTGGGGCAGGGGACACAATTTTCAATAAGGTGGTCAGGGTAAGCATCACTAAAGTGATATGCAAACAAAGGCCTGAAGGAAGGGACACCAAGGAACAGCTAATAAAAGGCTCTGAGAGGGGAGGGTACCTGGGAAGGAGCCCAGAGGACTGCAAGGGGAAAGTGCTCAAAGTCCACCAGACAATAGGTCCAGACTGTGGGGCAATGAAAGCCTCCGGCTCCTACTGTAAGTAATGAGCAGAGTCCTTGGGATTTTCTGAGCAGAGGGTGACACGATTGACTTTTGTTTAAGAGGACCATTCTGTTTACTATGTTGAGAATGGGATGAAGGTCAAAGATGGAAGAAGTGAGAAGACTGGGAAGGAGGCTACTGCAATAATTCCAGTGAGGATGGTGGTGACTTGTGCCAGGTAGCAGCAGAGTTGCTGACAAGATATCAGGTACTGGTTTTGGTCCCAGTCAATGGGAATAAGGAGTGGGCCCCACTGAGATGTGAAGACCATGAGAAAAATAAGATTCAGAGACCAGTTTGGGGCAGGTTAAGTTTAAAATGCCTATAAAGACATCTACTAAAACTGAGCAGGAAGTTGTATGTACAGGTCTCAAGTTCAAAGGGCAGGTCAACACTGGAGATGTAAATTAGGGGACATCAGTACGAAATTATCTAAATTCATGAGACTAAGTGAACAACTGCCAGTGAAACTGACTGCAGAGGGCTAAGTACTTAACACTAGGTGAACAAGGAGAAGGGAAGAAACAAGCAAGGAGGGAAAAGACTCGGTGAGAGGGAAGGGAGGAAAGCTAGAAGAATGTGGGGTCCAAAATGACTACTGCTGCTAAAACCAATTATTACCAGGACCCCTTCCTCCATCTCTAAAAGCGCATTCCTGCAATCTCTATCTCCTCATCTGACTTCTACTTTCCCACCCTGTGATTGGATGGGGGCTCACCTGGATAACCCAGTACACTGTTCCCACCTGCAATGTCTTTTTTGCTACATGTGATAACATTCACAGGTTTTAGGGATTAGGACTCAGACATTTTGGAAGGACTATTAGTCTATCTACAAAACCAAGTAAAGAAAAGTATTTTCAGTAAGAGGAAACAATGTACTGGGCTGAATGCTACTAAGGAAAGTTAAGGTAAGGGCAGGGAATATACTACAGAACACGGCACAAGGCAGGCATCACAACTCTGACAAGGGCAGGTTCAATGGAGTGGAATCAGAGGAAAATGGGAGGGCAGGACGTGGGGACAGCAGAAGCAATCCAGTCAGGGGGTTATGCTGAAAAAAGCAAAGAAATGAGGAAGTAACTAGAGAAAGATATGGGATCAAGGAAAACAACTTTCCCATGTCAGGGCTGGGATTGTGGCTCAGCGGTAGAGTGCTCGCCTAGCACATGGGAGGCCCTGGGTTCGATCCACAGCACCACATAAAAATAAATAAATAAAATAAAGACAAACAAAAAACTTTCCCATGTGGAAAAATACAAAACATTATGGGGCTGAGGCTCTAGCTTGTTGGTAGAATGCATACTTAGCATACTGAAAGCCTGGGGTTCAGTTCAATCCCTAGTGCGCCCACACACAAACGGCTTTATGTTATTCAGAATGATCCAGTTGGGGGGTGGGGGCATGAAGAAGAAAAAGGGAACATGGGTGGCGCAATGTCCCTGAGTAAGGAGGAGCAGATCTAACACACAAGGGGAGCGGCAGGTTTGGAAAACAGATGTTAATCCAGAGAAATAAGAGGAAGTCAGCCTAGATGTGTAATTTACTTTTCCCAGCTATGTTCAGCTGCACAGGTGTAGGAATGGAGCAGATAAAGAGCTGGATTTAAGGATGTGACTGCCAGTGGGTAAGGGAAGGGGAAAATGAGGAGCTATTGTCTAATGAGTATAGAATTTCAGTTTCATAAGATGAAAATATTTCTGGAAACCGGTTGCACAGAAATGTAAAAGTACATAACACTACTAAACTGAATACTTTTACATGAATTTTTATCATAATTAAAAATCCTAACAGGCTAAGGGTGCTGTCACCCCGGGGACTCGGGAGGCTGCAAGTTTGAGGCCAATCTTAGCAAAATAATGAGATCTGTCAATATATAAGGGTGCTGGGCAAGGTGGCATCAAAAGCTCAGGAGGCCGAGGCAGAAGGATCACAAGTTCAAAGCCGGCCTTAGCAACTTAGTGAGGCCCTAGGCAACTTAGTGAGACCTTGTCTCAAAATAAAATATAAAACAGGGACAGAGATTTGACTAAGTGGTTGAGTACCCTAGGTTCAATCCCTGACATCAAAATAAATAAATAAAAATTTTAAAAAGTTAAAATAAAAATTAAATGAAAAAGGCCAGGAATGAAACTCAGTGGTAGAGTGTCTTTGGGTTCAATCCCTGGTAGAGGAAATAAATAAATAAATAAATATTTAAAAAACCAAAATAGGCTAACAGTGCAACTTCTTGATAGAGGACTTGCCTCACATGCAGGGTGTGACCCCAGCACTGAGACATAAAGAATGAGGTGGGCCACGGAATAATAATTCTTTAAAAGTTGGAGTTAACCATTTTAGGGGATTTTACAGTGAAGGAGGAAAGAACAACAGATGCTGAAGGTGTGTGTGAGAGAGGACAAAGACTAAGCTGAGTACAGACAATGAGGACTCAAAGGCTAGAAGGAGGTGCAGGATCAACAGACCAAGTGTCCTCCCAGCAAGGCTGAGTTGGTGGAGCTTGGGAAGCAGACCGAGGGAGTGCAAATGCTTCTCAAGTGACTCCAAAGGCCTCTGCGCTATGCTATGTGCTCTAAGCACATCTGGCCTCGAGGGTTTTCCATACTCTGTTCCATTTGCGTGGTGAAACTTTCTTCCCTCAGATAGCACCTCCGTTTGGTACCTTATTTAGAGTGCCCACAGGTGTGGCATGCCAGCACTTCTACAATAATTCTTGGAATCAGTACTGACTATTTCAAGAGCTTCTTTGTTGAGCATGTGAGCTGTTCACAAATCCCAAGGTAGCAGAGCACCCAGTATCACATGGAAAGTGACATACACATGTCCTAGGGTTTGATGCTCTGTAGAGGGACTACACATAGGTTCCTCTTCTCTCCTCTTTCATCCACACTCCACTTTCTCACCTGTTATTTTTTCCAACAGAGAAACATCCTGCACTTCCTGAGGCAAAGAAGCAATTTTCTGTCGAACAGTAGCATCCCCTGATGCAGCATTTTCCAGATCCTGCAAAGCTTTGATCAGTTCCTCAGTCTATAAAATAAAAATAGAAACACTGTAGTGTACAGACATATGAATTTTAAAGAAAATTAGCTGGAGTTAAATTAGGTGAAGGCAAATTTTAAAAATGGTCATTTCTGGTCTTTGAAAACGTAATTCTTAGTTCCAGAGCTTATACAGAAGTCAATGACAGTCTAAAAGAATGTACAAAATTAATTTTTCTAGTTTTCTAGTAGGACACAAATGAAATGTTGCAAAACTCTTTAAGGTATATATATCTCGGGCTGGGGATGTGGCTCAAGCGGTAGCGCGCTCGTCTGGCATGCGTGCGGCCCGGGTTCGATCCTCAGCACCACATACCAACAAGATGTTGTGTCCACCGAGAACTAAATAAAATAAATATTTTTTTTAAAAAAAAGGTATATATATCTCAACTGTTCAACAATTGTGCGTTGACTAATTAAATTGAGTTTGCTTTACAAAATGATCACCACTCCCCAAATTAAAAGAGTCAAACTCACTAACTATAAACAACGGTGAGAGGCAAAAAGAAAAGCAAACCAATAAGTATTCTGTGTGTATTAAAAGGAGTTTATTAAATTGTCAGAAAAGAGAATACTGACAGGTAAGCCAGTTCATAATGACCTAAGAGTAGCTTACTCTGCACAGAGTGCTAAATGACCACAAAGCTGATAATTCAGGTTGCTCTCTTTAAAGTTTTTGGATGCAAAGGTATGTCACCTAACGCCATTTCATTTAATCATTTTAACAAGACACAAGCCCATTTACATAAGCTTTGAATTCACCTACGTGTAATAAAAGCTGATTTAGACAAAATAAGAGGGGCATGGGCAAGACAGACCTGGATTCAAATTAAGATACTGGGCAAGTTACTAAAACTCGGTCATTTTGAGTCTCATTCTCAAGAGCTATAAAACAGATGAAATAAACCAACCAAAGAATTCATAAGCTGACATGTTTTATGAAAGCCCAAATAATGCAAACACATGGTTAAAGGCAAACTCCCTGTTTTAACATTTAAATTGGCTATAGTATAAAAGTTTACTCTCAGCACACAGACTGTTCTAGCTATGAACAAGCTGTTTACTTGCAAAACACCACAACAGAAGACTGGAGACGCGCCACAGCAGACTTTGGAATGTCTTTTAAACATATTATCTACCCCTTTTGCAACAATCTACTTTTTAATAATATTTTTAAATTCTAGGAGTAAAATACCACATCCAAATACTTTAAAAAACATAAACTGGGGTCAAGAGTCACAGCAGGCTTCTCTGGATGAGATCTTGTATTAGATGCCCCAGAACTGCCCTCTGGTGATTCCATATGATTGGCCACCAGTGCCACCTTGTGGCCATAATCTTCAACTAGAGGTCACTTTAAGCCGCTGAACCCTATTTTGGGGGAGTCAAACATACCAAGAGGGGTCCTGCAGAAGGATCTTGGGGAGAGTAGCTTCCAGGGTAATCATCATCCTCCTCCTCCTGTATCTGCTGAAAAGTCCGCTTTAGAGACTTCTTTTCTTCTGCTGCTGGAGGAAATCAAAAGGTGACAAATTTGAGTTGCATAGCCTGTCCTGGGCAAGGGTCAAATGCTACACACAATGGGCCATATGTAAAAATAGGGCAGAAGGGGCATTTGTTTTCAGATGCCTCTTTATGTGAGTTATTCTTAATTGACTGTGCCTCTTTATACTACTGAGAAGAGTCAAAAAGATCTGTCATCTCATTTTGACTGTCTGAAAAAAACACTATCAAAAACAAGCATCTAAAAATAAATCAAAATTATAGTATTAATTAAAACTTCATATCTTAAGAAAAAAGTTAAAATGGTAAGAAACCCATCAGGCAAAATAATAAAGTACACCAATGTGTGGAAGGGATTACAGATAACTTACTGCATATAAAATGAGGTATTTCATCCTTTTCAGGATCATTTCAAAAAATAGGAGAAATTCAACAAAAAAACTGTCAAAAATTCTAAACACAAATACTCTTAAGCCATCCCTTTAAAATGAACAAACCTAATTTTACCTTAAAATTAAAAAAAAAAATAACATCATCATCATTCTGAGAAATATGATTGATACTACTGGGAGAAATTACTGAAGTTACCATTTTTAGATTAACCACTTTTGAGGCTGACAGGTAATATTTTTTATTATCTGTACTGTTTGCTTTTACATTATTATGATAGATGCATTAATTCTAAAATTGTTCCCATTGCATCAAATTGGACAATATAAAATAAATGACAAACAACTGCGGGAAATAAAACTAAATGACAAATTCTGGTTTAGAAAGTAAAGATATATTGGACACCTAATACGTCTAAGACATTACAATAACTTCTTTACATTTACTCATTCCAGTAACTCTGAGATGCCATGTCTCCACTTTAAAGGTGAGAAAACAAAGGCTCAAGGAGATTCAATAACTCATCTAAAGGCATGACTCCGAAACCTAAGCTTTTTCTACTGCACTTAGAATTACTAAGCACAAAACAAGTACCCTCTCATCTGTCAAAAAAGGGAGACATGGGGCACCTGCCTCAGAACTCTGAGTTACACACAGAATGAACACACACTTTTTGATTAAACCAGTTCTGGGACCAAGCAAGTAGCTCCTGTTTTCTACCTTATACATTATCTCACCAAACTATGTTTGAAGTGAAAGTCAAGTCAATATCACAAATTGTATTTTTTAATATTCTGTTTATTCTACCAAAGGAAGAAGTAGTAGAAGTAAAAGAAGAAACAGCAACGTTTGTGATATAAGCACTCCCCCAACAAGAGTTCACAGTTCAGTTACCATCATAATAGCTCACTCTGAGTACTTGGATAAAGCAAAAATTTCTCTAAATACTTCAGTCCCCAAGCATGATCAGTGGCCAATCACATCACTTCTTCAAAGTCTGCCAGTGACAGGTCACTGCACATCTGTACTCAGCTCACACACACAAGCAGCGTACTGGTAGTGCTGCCTCCTTGTTTTGGGTTAAAACCCATATGACAGTTCATAAAAATGAGTCATCCAAACAGGGAATTGGCTACCGAGATGAAAGTGCAGCAAAGAAACTAAACCAAAGCTAAAGACAAATGGCAGGTAAACAGAGCTCAGAAGAAAAGGCTAGCCTTGGGACACCACCAAGACACAAGACTGCAGCCAGAGAAACTTATAAGGTCACACAATCAACGCAAATGAAGAGCACGGCAGCAGAAGGCTGGCAATGTCCTTGAAGTGATGCTGACAAAAACGTCACACAAGAGGAACTCTCAAAGAGATTTCAGCACACTGAATGCACAAAGGACAAAATGCTAACTATTCACCAAGGCCTAGGAAAGATGCCCGCTCTGTTCAAACTGGACTAGAAGGCAGGCACTGATCAAACTACCCTTGCTAACTTTATTACAGAGAAAACACATTTTTTTCTCTCAATGTTTCTGATTTTTTAAATTTTTTTATTAGTTGCTCAAAACATTGCAATGATCTTGACATATCATACATTTGATTCAAATGGGTCAATGTTTCTAATTTTTGAGTTAATACTAAGTAACTACTATTTTACCTTTTTGTTTTATCTATAGTAAGTTTTCAACTCTTTGACCCCCTCCTCCTCCTCCAAAAAAAAAAAAAAAAGCATTATCTCACTGACTAGTAAGTTCACCCTGTACACTTCAGCTTGCATGGTCATTTCAGTCTTGCACTATCATGCAAAGCAAGGACTGCTGTATTTTTTAAATGGAAATCTATCAGGATATCATTTAATATGAAACATCTGACAGAACTTCTCACACACTGCTTAATTAATGTATGGTACAGACATACAGATATTTAGCCTCTATAGCCTCAAAGTGGCCATGTGTAAGGGGTTGTATATATGGTTTTGTTTGCTTCTAAGAGTCCTCAATAAATAACTGTTAAAACACTAAAGATATAAAAAATTGTAACTTGAAATAATCTCCAAACTCTTATACAGATTCTATCATACATTCACTACCCTCAGGACACTCTGAATCACTCAATTTTGGCAATGAAAGGCATTAAATTGGCCTTTGCTTTCCCACACTTAATTTTCTTGAGAATATCCAGTCCCACAGGTTGTGGTTTGCACTAAGTCAAGGAGCTTGTTAGCCTAAGTCTGGGTCCACAAGCCAAAGCCTTCTGCCTCCACACTCTAGCAGTACAAGACTTTTTTCAGTTTCCACTGATAAAAATAATTTCAAGGTCATTTCTGTCCTTTGCCATCAAGAGGGAAGAGGGTATAGAGGAGATGCTAACTATCACCAGCCTACTTTTCCAGTGTACTTTTATTTTCAGCTGGAGAATCAACTGGTACTGCAAACCTAAGACTTCTAGAAATGAATTATCCATCCTTTCCCCCTCTGACTCCTATCCCCTAAGGTACCTATTTCCATCATGAAGACTTCCACTGGGCCCATCTTCCAAGTACAAAACCTTGAAGACCATCAGAACCTATCCCAAAGTAGTGACTTCTGTAAGATTTCACACCCCTGCGGGATGTCTGGCAAAACTCTCACCCCTTCCCAGGCCCAACCTCTCATTAGCAATCCTCCCTTCATCACACCTTGTTGAGACCACTGTTCCACCTGGTCTCCCTGCCATCAGTTGCTCCGTTTCCAACTTAGACTATATTGTTAAATTGCTCTTCCCCTCACCCTATCTTGTCTCTATGCAAAGATCTTGAATGGCTGCTAGTGATTCACACTGTCCTTCTAAGCTCAAACCCATTGTGGCTAATGGCAGCAGCATCGTGAGCACTCCCTCCAACTCCCACTGCACTTGGGCCTCTCTTTAAAAGTACTTGGCATTGCTGTTTTATGACTGCTGGCAAGCCTTCTTCTCTTGAGAAGAACATTAAGTGTCTTATTCCTCCACCTCCTATAAAAGGGGTGACGGACCAGAGTGTACACCCTCATGAAGGGAGGAGTCTCAGAGCTTGGAAAGTGCTGGTGCTATGCCAGTAATTATTATTAAAGCTAAAAAGTTAGCAGTTATGATGCCCAGAATTCTCAATTGATCCAGACAGCCATTAATAATAACCCAGCAAATATGCCCGTTGTATTCCTACATCAGAAGTTAAGATAAGCCTTCAACAATCAATCCAGCTTCTGACCATGGTATTTATTTACATTCCCTTTTTTACTCAACCGCTCCGCACAGGCAGGATGGCACTACGGGAGGCTAATGTCCTTCTGTCCTCATTCTGTGCACCTTCTCTTATATCCTTGGACCCATCTTTATGTCTCCAGGAAGCCTTGTATTTGACTAACCCTCAAGTAATCCTGGTTACCTAAGGGGAAAGTGTGCCTCTGAGAGGCCTTACTGGTAGAATTTCAGATAACTATGGCAGACTGTGAAACTAACCTTAAGGCAAAAAAGCTGGCCTAAAGGCTCCCAAACCACCTTATAAACACAGCTCCCTACCTGCAAAGCTGGATTTTCTGAAGGATACACTTGAAATTTTCTGCAATTAAAACACACACACAGGGCTGGGGATGTGGCTCAAGCGGTAGCGCGCTTGCCTGGCATGCGTGCAGCCCGGGTTCGATCCTCAGCACCACATACAAACAAAGATGTTGTGTCTGCTGAAATCTACAATGAATAAATAAATATTTAAAAAAAATTCTCTCTCTCTCTCTCTTAAACACACACACACACACACACACACACACCTTCAGTTTTACATTACTTTTATTTGTTTTTGTTTCAGACCAAATTTCACTATGTTGCCCAGGATGGTCTCCAACTCTTGTTGACTTCAGCATCCCTCTCTCCTCAACCTCCCATGCAGCGGGAACTACCCATACTCAACACGGCACCAAGCTTTACATTACTTTTAAAAAAGAAACAGGAAATACTGTTGGCAACAGCTGCTTCATTCTGTCTCCTCCTTGAAAAATAAAGGAAATTTTTTAAAAAGCACATTAGACATTACTCGTGGGAAAGAAACTGAAACAAATAAAGGGTTAACCCTGGAGGTATGGTTTTAAAAAGCACTTGCCCCTCATCTCACTGAACAGAGCCACCAAGACTGGTCTGGAACCCAGGCAAGCCCAGAGCTCTGCTCTTAATGAGTATGCCCTTGAGCCTTGCATAAAATCCAAGGGACTGAAAATATCGTAAGTCTCCTTCTACTTGAGGTACTGGCTCATATACGGATGCTCAGAATATTAACTATTAGAATGAGAGGGACAAATAAAAGTCATTTTCATTGCTCCACTGATAGTATCTTACCTGTATTAACTCATCCTCACCACAACCCTATAAAGTGTAACTAACAACAACCATCCTCGATAGTGGAGAACTGAGGCTCAGAGGTCAAATGCTAAGCTCAAGGTCACAAGGCTTTAGCAGTGAGAACTGAGATTCATAACTCTGTAAGTCTGAATACCTAAACTGCACTAATGTCCAGGCAAGTTGGGTAACCTCCTCATGAACTCATGTCACAACTCAAGTGTACTAGATCCTTGGGCTTTCAGGGGGGGGGGGGGAACATTATGAAGAAGGTCAGCCTTAAGATCATATAGATCTGGGTTTAAAGCTGCCACTTCTCACCTATATCCCCCTTCAACAAAATTGCCATGTATTTTTAAGCTTTAGTATCCTCACCTGAAATATGAAAATAATACCAAATTCATGAAGTAGTTTTAAAGATGAAAATAACAAGGCAGGCAGAAGATAAACTAGTACATTTCAGCTACCTGATAAATGCTCATTCTTTTTGTCTACCTTCCCTTTTTAAATTCTTCCACATTTGCACGACACTATGTGATTCAAGTACATAATAAAGTTCTATCTAGTCAAACAACAACTTGAGTATTCCCAAGAACAGAGGCAACTTTAGAACACCTGGGCTTTGCACCTGTTGAGACAGTTATATAAATTCAATCTACAGTTTTAAAACAGAATTCCTAAGCTCATGCATGCTCCTTTGCAGTAAGAAATCAAAGTTCCACAGGAAATTTATTATTTCAAAAACTTTATAACATTGTCTCAAGACAAAGAAGTACCCATGAATAAAAGCCAGAATATAAAAGGACTATTCAAATTTGGAAATGAAAACTTCTGGAGAACTTATCAATATTTTGAAAGAGTTGTCGTAAAACCTTCTGAAAACTCAGGTCCAGAGGACAACACAGCGAGTTGGCTGAGACCAACACACACTGAAACCTCTACAACTTGCTTTTTTTTCTTTAAAGAACAGGAAAAGAGAAATTATCTTTAGATTAGCATTATCTTTCACATGGTTACTGCCTTTGTTATTTATTGTTAATGTGTGTCTAGACTAAAAAAAAAACAAAAAAAAAATCAGAAACCCAACGGAGCGATTTTCCATACCACCACTGCCACACATCCCCCATTTGTCTGGCTGCTCCCTGTTTCCCACTCTTCTCCTGTTCCTTCCTATGGCACTTAGCTTAGCCATTCACCCAAAGCACATGTCCACCAAATGCTTGAACTGAAATTTGACATGGCTTCAAGCATTCTTTTTCCAGAGCCCTCCTGCTTACCTAAAAGTGCTTTAAAAAACCAGCACTGTTTACCAAATGAATTGAAAGGCAGATTATAGAAAATAATGCTGGATAATTCCCCAAAGCTGTACAAAATAAATACCTCCAAAGGACACAATACCAACACTACCAGAATCCAAAGCAGCAAACATTTCACTTTTCAGCAACTCCTACCAGAATGACCCTAGAATTATTTCCTAACAACTCCAAGTAAAACAACAATAACTTGTAGCCTGAAAACATGTATGTCATCTTAGAAAGCCTCTAACCTTTAGTTTCACAGGAAAGTTAGAAATTACTGTAAAATGCATATCATTTTAGACCTAGAAGAGATCATAAAGGGTACATAGTTAGGGTTGTTGAATGAATGATACTGTCACGCATGCTAATTCCAGCAAGTTCTATAGCAGAGCATGTATATGGTAGCAGAGAATAAGGAAGGAATGGTTACATGTGCCCAGACAAGCAAGGAAGCCATCAGAGTGAGAGAAGCACTTGGAGAACACATTCACACAGTGAAAGGGGCAAAAGGACATCTCAGGCGGAGGTAAACTGCAGATGCAGAAGAAGAGGTGAGTGCCAGCAGAGCATCCAGAGGGGAAACTTGTAATTCAGAATAGGCAAAGAATAGGGCATATATGAGAGAATGGCCAAGGGAATGATCTAAAAAAGTGGGCTACTTCAGATTAGAAAGGTCCTCAATACAATTAGACCTTGGACTTGATCCTCCAGGCAGTGAGTACATATGCAAAATCAGATCAGATCTGAAGCTGAGAAACATGTTATGCCAACTACAATTAAACTGTAACTTAACCAGAAGACAAATTATCCAATAACATTTGATCTTACTGTTTATAGAGAAAAAAATATATATATAACATGTGCCCTTTTGAAGAACTTGGTAAAATTCTCTTATTCTCTTCTCTTCTCTCTCTCTCTCTCTCTCTCTCTCTCTCTCTCACACACACACACACACACACACACACACTCACACACACACACTTACTTCCTAAGGATATCCTGGGCTCAATAAAAACAAAAAATCATTTTAGACAACAAGCAAACAATCTTAAAGTACATTCCAAACCCACATTTATATTTAATAGGAACCAAGTTCTCAGAGGGCTTAGGGACTTATTCAAGATCCTGTAATAGTTAACAGCGAGGCTAGAACAAAATCTTAGTATAAGGTACTTCCTAGTTAACCACAACTCTGTTGCTCCTTACGCTTGTGCAAGGAAAGTCTCTGAAAGACAGGAGAGAGCCAAGGAGAACACATAGCAGAAGTTAGGAAGGGAGAGAATCAACAGCATGAATACTAGAACCAGGCTTGCACACTGCGAGCACTACGTAAATTCTCACCATCATTCATGATCATCTCTCTCTGAAGAATCATAAAATTGCTCGTGGTTCACAGCAACCCCCATTGCAGCTTTTCATATTTGATTCGAAAGTAGGCAAAGACCAAGAGCTGTAAACATGTGGTGATGTTTCTACCTTTGGGGGGAGGGCTCTTGGAGTCCTCCATAGACAGCTTCAGCTGCTGTATGAACTCGCCGCCATACACACTTCGTTCTTGCCAGATGTTCAGCAATCTTTCTAAAGGTTTTTTACAGCCTTCATCTGCCTCTCTGCCCAGAAAAGATGAAAAGATATATATAAGCTTAAAATTTTTTGCTTTTAATTAGGACAGATCTACTTAAAAAAAATCAATAACTGACTAAATGATTTACATAATTAAAAACAGAAGGAAAAGTAAAGTACATGTTGTATTACTCGGATACCCAAAACTTGACCAGAAACTACATTCTTCCTGTGGTGGGTGGGAAAGAGAGAGCAATCATATCACAGAAGAAATCTTTTTTCTCCTTTGAAAGATGGGGCAAATGGAGAGGGGGAGATGATCCAATGGCCAATTTTTACAGACAAAATATTATCAAAAATTGATCATATCAATTCTGACAGTTTGCTTTTTAAAAGAAAACGTTAACTGGAATGTAGTGGGAGACATTCTGCTAGAAATTAAAATTGGCCAAAACTTTTAAGAATTAAAAAAAAGAAAGATTAACAAAAACAAATGTTTACAATGAAAAATTCACCACACCAACACACCAAACCTCTGCATGTATAAATTCAATTTGTACATACATATGCCAAGACTGACCTCAACTTTTAACTACTTCCTAATTATTTAACACTGGGCTAAGTCTGTGTTTCAAGCTTACACACAGGTGTCTCACTGATAATCTTAGAACACAATGAGAATAGGGAGGTCCTTAGTAAGTTATATCTGAAAGAAATTAGGAAATATGTTACACTCTTGATGTAGAACACAGCTGGCACTCTAAATCTGGCACCCACCATAAAAATGTCAACAAGCAGAAGAGTAAGAAAAGACTTCTTGAAAGGGAACAGAATTCCCTCATGTGCACTGGTTCCTGTCAATGGTTCTGTCTAATTCTAATTTAGCCCTCAGCTAAACATATTTTCTACCCAGAACTTGTTCCTTCTCATGCACGGAGCTTTGCTCATGCTATTGCCTCTCCTTTGCATGGAACTCCCAAAATGGAATAAGGAAAAAGAAAGCAGAGGTTGAGAAATTCAGTTAGCTGAAGTATATAAGGCAGGTTGGAAACAGCAGAAGAATCTGGAAGACAAGAGTGGAATTAGAGAGGGCTCAAATGCCATATTAAGCATGTGTCTAGCAGAAATGTGAAGTCCTGGGCTGGAGTTGTAGCTCAGTGGTAGAACGCTTGCCTCACATGTGGAAGGCACTGGGTTTGATCCTCAGCACCACATAAAAATAAAATAAAGGCAAATCTACAACTAAAACAATTTTTTAAAGTTGAGGGGGGATGTGAAGTCCCTGATGTCATCATATGTACAAGTTTAGATATTTCTCATAGCACTGAACCAAAACTTAAGTGGTTGATACTTTTACCATAAAAGAAAAAAAAATCTGTTATCTGTAAATTCTCTGTACACTTCAGAGAGATACTAATCATGAGAACAAATACTTGAGAACTGAGTTAAGGGGGCATAATACCTACTTGCCCCACCATCCACCATTCCTGGGAATAGTTAGGACTTAAGACTGGTTTTGAGTATAGTTTCTGCCATATTACTTAACAATGGAACGATGGAAACCAATTTTCATTTTCCTCCTCCTCCTCCTTCTTTTTTTTTTTTTGGTACCAGGGATTGAATACAGGGATGCTTAACCACTTGAGCCTCATCCTCAATCCTGTTTTTGTTTTTTTTAAATTTTGAGACAGGGTCTCGCTATGTTACTTAAGGCCTTGTAAAGTTGCTGAGGCTGGCTTTGAACTTAAGATTCTCCTGCCTCAACCCCCAGAGCTGCTGGGATTACAGGCATGCACTTACAGCACCCCACCACAAAATATTTTCAAGGGCTTTCATTATTAAAGGCTAACGTTAAAAAGGAGGTCCAAACTTAGTGAATTTAACTAGCCAGAATAGGCTATTTCCTTGAGCAGTATAGCAAAGCAAGATTTTATTAGATAAGTTTCAAAGTTATAGGTAAAAAAGCAAAAAAAAAAAAAAAAAAATTTTTTTTTTCACTGATGAGGTTTTGCAATAAGTAACTACAGTGAACTGAAGTCACTTTTGCATCTGGAATCAGACACAACTAAAGCAACAAAACAAATTTACAAAATAAGGGACATTATCTTTTTAAAAATTTTTTTTTTAGTTGTAGATGCACTCAATACCTTTATTTATTCATTTATTTATTCAATTAATGTGGTGCTAAGAATCGAACTCAGTACCTCACATGTGCTAGGCAAGCGCTCTACTGCTGAGCCACAATCCCAGCCCCAAGGGGCATTATCTTTATAGGTTGCACCAACTTCATTCTAAATTGAGAAATCTTTAAGTAAAAAAAAGACTAAAAAAACCTTTGCCATGAATCTATGAATGAATTGAAAGATGACAAATAATAACCTATATACTTTGTATGTCTCTCTCTCTCTTATTTTTGGAACTGGGGATTGAACTCAGGGACACTCAACCACTGAGCCACATCCCCAGCCCTATTTTGTATTTTATTTAGAGACAGGGGCTCACTGAGTTGTTTAGTGCCTCACCGTTGCTGGGACTGGCTTTGAATTCACAATCTTACTGCCTCAGCCTCCCAAAACACTGGGATTATAGGTGTATGCTACTGCACCTGCTCATATGTCTCATCAATTTTTTTATGTTGAACACTTCATGTATATTTTAATTCTAAAATCAATCAATGCTCACTTTTTTTCCATACAGAAGGCACAATTGACCATAAAAGTAAACAATGTGGCTGGGCGTGGTGGCACACACCTGTATCCCAGCGGCTCAGGAGGCTGAGGCACAAGGATCACGAGTTCAAAGCCAGCCTCAGGAATTTAGCAAGGCCCTAAGCAACTCAGCAAGACTCCACTTCTAAATAATACACAATAAAAAAAAGGGATGGTGATGTGCCTCAGTGGTTAAGTGCTCCTGGGTTCAATCCCTGGTGCCAAAACAATAACAATTAACAATAACAACAAAAAGTAAACAACGTGGGCTGGGTTTGTAGCTCAGTGGTTGAGCACCTGCCTCACACATATGAGGCACTGAGTTTGATCCTCAGCACCACACAAAAAAATAAATAAAGTTATTGTGGCCATCTACAACTAAAAAAATGTTTTAAAAAAAAGTAAACAATGTGTATATACCTGCCCGCCCCCACCCCTCAACAACATTGCAGCTTGGAAGTGTCAGCTGGACACCTGAGGCCTTTAGGGGCTTTTCTTCCTGCAGTTCCTGGATAAAAGTACCATAATTGTGTGCCTGTTTTTCCCAGGCTCAGCAGGCCTGTGGTAGGCCTATGAGGGGCACGAATTCTAACTCAGCAGGCTCAGCATTTCTGACAGCACCCCAGGAAAGATGGAGCAGAAACGCTCCTTCACAATTGTTCAGAAAGAGGTCACAGAATGCTGAAACCCGCTACCCTCAGAGAGGCCTGCTGACAAGTTGGGCCTTGGGATTTCAGGAGTGTTCCCAGTATTTCCTAACTGATCAGTGTGGTTTAATGTGTCTAAACTAATCATAAAAACAATATGGTTCCAAAGAAACAACTGCTTTCTTTCTAGGAGCCTGGAATGATGGCAGAGGGTGCGCTACATGACTGAGCCCAGTGAAAGGTCTGGGTGCTGAATCTCCAATGAGCTTCCCAGTTAGACTGCACTACACACATGCTATCCCAATTTAATGCTGGAGAAATTAATTAAGCCTGTGTGACTCCACTGGGAGAGGACCCTTGGAAGTTCATTCCTGGAGTCGTGTAGTCTTTACTGCATGTACCTTTTCCCTTTTTGATTTTGCTTTGTCTCCTTTATCTGTAATAAATCACAGCTGTGAGTACTCCCAGGGAGTCATCAAACCTGGGTGTGGTCTTAGAGACCCATAAACAAGCACAATAAATAAATATCATGTGTATGTATGGGGATAACTTCCAAATTCATGTCTCTACTGAGTTTCAGCCTATTTTGCCCATCTGCCTCCCCAGCCTCACCCCTTGGACTCTCTATCAGCCATCTCAAAGTTAACATGGCCAAACCAATTTCTTTCCCTCTATCAAATATTTTCCCCAGTCTTCAGCTCAGTAAAAAGTACCTTCACCAGGGCCGGGATTGTGGCTCAGCGGTAGAGCACTTGCCTAGCTCGGGCAGGACCCGGGTTCGATCCTCAGCACCACATAAAAAATAAAGGCATTGTGTTGTGTCCATCTACACCTAAAAAATAAATATTAAAAAAAAAAGTACCTTCACCTATCCACTTATATCAAAAAATCATCTGGGATTTCTCTTTTCCCTAGCGACTAGCTCCCACTCAACTCTTACACATCCTATTAGTTTTACCCCTGCAGGGCTGAGGTTGTAGCTCAATGGTGGAGCACTTGCCTTGCATATATGACGTACAGGGTTCGATACTCAGCACCACATAAATAAATAAATAAATAAAGGTATTATGTTCATCTACAACGAAAAATATAAAAATAAATTTTAAAAAGTCCACCCACAAAGTAATCAATCAATAGAAGCTATCTTCTCACTGCTTTAATCCAAGTTAATGTCACTATAGCCTGTACTACAGCAATAGCCTTCTAACTCAGGTCTATGCCTCCTTGGTCTCTGTGAGCCATTTTCCACACCACACCATTTTTAAAGAAGAATTTTTTTGAAAAATGATTTAACTTAATTTCTTTTTAAAAAAATTTAATTTTTGTTCTTTCTAATTATATATAACAGTAGAGTATAATTTGACTTATTTATACAAACATGGAATACCTCTTATTCTAATTAGGATCCCAGTCTGTGGTTGTACACAATGTAGAGATTCAATGAGGTATATTCATATATGTGCACAGGAAAGTTATATAAGAATCATTCCACTGTCTTTCTTATACCTGCCCCCCACTTCATTCTCCTTTGTCTAATCTACTGAACTTCTTCACCCCCACTTGCTGTATGTTACAACCACCTATTAGAGAGAACACTCAACCTTGGTTTATTTCACTTAGCATAATACTCTCCAAATGTCATAAACTCATTCTTTTTTATGGTTGAGTAATATTCCATTGTGTATATATACCACATTTTCTTCATCCATTTATCTGTTGTAGGACACCTAGGTTGGTTCCATAGCTTAGCTATTGTGAAAGATCTTTCTTAAAATGTAGGTTTGAATATATCATTTCCCCTCTTAAAATCTTAATTGACATCCTATAGAATACAGTCCTCTCCCAAGGCTTACATGACTATTACCTGTCCACCTCTCTGATGTCATTTGGGTTTCAATTCTCCCTTTACTCACTGTGTTCGAAGCACAGTGCTTTCGTTCTGTTTCTCTTGATGATTCCTATCTTAGGTTCTTTTTAATAGCTGTTCCTACTTTGGATGATTGCTTCAAATGTCATTTCCTTTCTAAATGTGGCTTTCCTTAATCACACTGCCAAAAAGAGGTCCCACTCTAGAGCACCACCTATTTGGCTCTGTTCATATTATCACTCCCTGAAAGTGTCATGTTCGTTCCATCCTCCTTGCCTGCCTTAGTCCTGCTGCTCCCCTGGTGTCTGGATCAGTATTTGGCACACAGAAGACACTCAAATGCATGTTGAATAAAAAATGGTCTGTACAATTCCAAACTGAGAACAAAACAAAGACACTTGTGTAGATAATAAGTATATAATCTGGTTAATTAAACTGCTATTAAGACAAATCTACCCTGGTCACAGAAAATGCATACAAAGAACATATTTTAGGCTACTGTCAGTTGAGAAGGTGCATCAGGATTGAAGTAGTGGCTGGACTTCTGTTGTAATAATGCAGTGGGGAAAAGGACCCTAAAAACACGGGCATCCTAAATAGAGACCCAAGCAGGACCTTGAAAGAACTAGAAGAATGCAAAAGAAAGGAATTAGGGCTTTTACAGAGAAAGACCAGGATGAATCTGACAAGATGTTTTCACAGTGCCTCCTGCTTAGATAGGTTTTAGGTTGTTCTCGAGTAGAAAAGGAATTTTTAATCCTGGTATTACCCACTCCTCTTCTCCCATTCCTTCCTACTTAGCATAATATAAGTTTGAAGGCAGCTAAAAATTATTGATCCATTTATAAGTAAGTGTTTACTGTCTCTACATGAGATTATTTCAGCCAATTCCCTAGACCAAACTTTTTCCCCAATGAATAAATATTAATTAACTCATTCAACAAATATCACAAAATTGCCCAAATCTTGGGACACCATTTTCATCAAGTTATATAAATGGTACTCCCTAAAGCTATGTAACCCAACAGCTTTGTGCCAGACCCTTAGGAGATCCCTGGCATACGGCAAAGAACAACAACAGAAAAAGAACATGGTCCTTTCCTTCAGGAAACTTATAATTTAGCATATTCTAGTGAACAGGAAAAGAATGCAGATGAAGCAGTGTGCTATGTACTTTTCAACAAATTATCTTACTTCACCTTCAAAATAACCCTAACAAGATAAGTGATATTCTAACCCCTTTTAACTAATTAGGAAACTTGGGCTCAAAAGTTAAGTAATACGCCAGGCACAGTGGCGCAGGGCTGTAATCCCAGTGGCTCAGAAGGCCGAGACAGGAGGATTGTGAGCTAAGCAACTCAGTGAGACCCTGTATCTAAATAAAATAGGGCTGGGGATGTGGTTCAGTGATCATGTACCCCTGATTTCAATCCCCAGAACCAAAGGAAAAACAAAAGTTATGTAATACATCCACGGTCACTCAAACAGTTTTGGAGGACAGCCAGTGTCTAAGAAACTGAACTAAATCTCATCAAAAGAAGAAATTCCTGTTTCCAGTTTCAGATAGCTATCTATAATAGTCTACTCTAGAGAATCCAGTAATTGAAATTGGTAACACACTGTTACTTCAGTATCCATGTTCATCAAAAGAGCTAGCTATGCAGTTAACAAATAAAAATCTTTTTCCATCCCTAGAAAGTTAAACGTCATTTAAAAAATTTTTAAATTTTAATCCTTTAAATTTTCAAATACTTTAAGGAATGCCAAACTTAATTTCCCATGTAAGGCCTTACACTGACACCTTAGACCCTAGAACAATTCCTGTTTGACCCACTAGTCTCTTTTTGCTCTTTCCAACTTCCTTCTGCAAAGATCTATGTTTTTATATATATTTATTTATAAACATAATAGTCCACTGAAAACCAGTTCTCCTTTGCTCCTCTTGGGAATCCAACTTTTGCCCACAAAAGTTGTTGTTTTTAAATAAATAAAGATTATTTATAAACTCTTTAATCCAATGTATGCTGTATTAACTATAGGTGTAGTCTGGCTCCAGTCAGTCCTCTCTCCCACAAAACACAACAGTTGCAGACTCAATACAATTTGGCCAGAACAAACACCTACTTTTCCATACTAATAATTACTATTTTTGATATGATAATGATTATTTTTAGTAACAGACATCCAGACATTCAGAAGGAAGTAAACAAGAAGGCATAAGTAACTAATCTCTGCTATTGAAGATATGTTACTAAAAGACTCTTAAACTACTTAGCTTTGTTTTTTCCTTATAAGCTAATGAGACAACTCAGCAAAACCAAAAACAAACAAACAAAAAACAAAAAACACCATACTCAAGAAATAAATTCAACAAATGAATATATCAGGGGAAAAGATGTGCTTCTAGTACCAGGCAGAATCTCTTTAATGCATCATAATGTTTACAGGACTCAGTTCTTAGGGGCCCAGAAAAACACAAACTACAATCTGGCCTCCACAACATTCCTTGTGTAGAACAAAGCTGTCAATTTACAAAAGCTATCACAAAAGAGAATGAAAAAGTGGGAAAGGCAATGCATTTAAAAACAAAACAAAACTCCGACAACATACCTGGCAACATGAGAAAAAGCATCCACAAGGACAGATTCAAATTCTCTAGTGAACTCAGGTCCTTTCCTTTTACTGTTTTGGATGACATCGTTCGCCAAGTATAGAAATGTAAGTTTTCTATTTGATTTAGCTGAAAAAAAGAGAAAAGGATAATTTAACTTACACCAAAGAAATTCTTAATTCACAATTCTTGTGCCACAAGTCTATTTCTAAGGAACATTAAGACAAGAATTATCAGTCAGCATGATGATCCTAGCTAGCTGAGATTTCGAGACCAGCCTAGGCAACTTAACAAGACCCTGTCTCAAAATTAAAAATAAGAAAAGGGCTGGGATATAGCTCAATGGCAAAGCGCCCCTGAGTTCAACTCCCAGTACCAGGAGGGGGAGTGGGGGAAGATAAACATTATCTGCTCCTGGAGGTCTCTGACATAACAGGTCTGGAGGTATAATTTAGGAGGGAATGGGAGTTCAGCTTCATTTCTGTATAATTTTAACAAAGATAATGAACTGACAATAAAAATGAAGACAACTCAAAGGAAATTCCCAAAGGATAAACAGTCAATATTAACGTTAAAACCAAGGCTTTCAATTATTATACTACAAAGATAAATATTTCTAATGTACTTTTAATTTATTAAATAATCTAAAATGAAAGATAACTTTAAGTTTTAATTTTAAAATACATGCTTGTAATTTATGCTCAACTGAGAATTTCTCTTTGGTACTCCAATAACCATAGTCTGTTATCAACTCTACAAATTCACATAAATCTCTAGATGTATCAATGGCTGTTTATCTCAAACAGATATGCAAAAATGCTACATCGTTATTGAAAATTTACACACATCTGAAATCTGGGTATGCAAAATTATGGCTCCCACAAAATCCATAGCTTTTCTCTGCTATATATACAAAGCGTAGTATTTTCTATTACTCTAACTGGTATCATATACTAAACCATAAAAACCTCATGCAATATGTCTGAGTTATAGTTGCTTGGGGGAACATTACTGAATTTCCTAGCTTCTATGCACATAACTTCTTAACTGTAAAGTTACATCACTACCATTTTTGGTCCCAGTTTTCTTTTAAAAGAAATAAATATATGAACATAATTAGATAATTTAAAACACTAAGTTTATTCTCCAATGCTAAAGTGCCTCAGGAAAGCTCTGTCAACTTTTACACACCTGTATAACTATTCCTTGCTCTACTGTTCTCAGAAACCATTTCTCTGTTTCTTTTGAAATGCACACAGCATGTATAAGTTCTGACACAGCAGGCATAAAATCTGACATTTTAAAACGTAACTACAGGAAATTAACCCAAGTTAAAAACAAGATTTTTAAAGCACACTGTAGTTTAAACTAATGCCTTAATATGCTCATAAAATTAAATATGGATATCTTGAACTGTATTAACCTTCTGGTAATAACCCAGTTTAGATGGTCAACTGATAAGAATATTGGTAACCTGCAACTATCTTTAACTATTCTAGTTATTATTCAAAAGCAGGACCAAAATGTCAACAGTTACAATACCCACTCTTGTTACAAAGGTATGACTAGGACAAAAGGCTCTATTTTTTAAAAAAGCAAACCTTGTTCAGGGAAGTTGCATTAAATAAACTAACGAGTTCACAATGCTATTAAAGTTAGGGGATATGATGTAAAACGGATCTTCAGCAAAGCAAATTTGACTAATTTACAAAGTCCCTATACTTTATGTTTAAAAAATGCTAGAATCCATATTGTAAAATATCATTTGAACACTCAAGGTCGAACTTATTTTTCAGTATTACAAACATGATAGCCAATATGTTCAAGAGCCAAGGTTTTCGATATCTACAATGCCAATTACTCTTCATCACCTCCAAACTTAACAATGGCGATTTACTTAGGATAAAACTGTAGACATCCACATTCAGCATCCTGAATAGTCAACATGAGCACCCTATGTGTAAAGGGGCTACAGAATGAACTCTAGAGCACTAAAACACATGTAGTCAATAATACATGCAACACACACCCCCCTCTACCCCAACCCTGGTTGATAACTCAACTTCAGATATATATTTCTAATATGACAAATTAGAACTTTTCACCAAAAAGTTATGCTCATCCAAAACTGGTAAAACTAGTTTCTAAACAAAGTTTAAACAAATGACTAATCAAAACTTTTTGCTTGTTTGGCTGGTTTTGATGTCTAAAGAAAGTCTTAAGTAATTCGGGGAAAAAGGCCTATTTACCTATATTCAGGCATGATAAAAAAAAAAAAAAAACACTATTAAAAATTATTCATCCTTGGGCTGGGGATGTGGCTCAAGCGGTAGCGCGCTCGCCTGGCATGCATGCAGCCCGGGTTTGATCCTCAGCACCACATACAAAGATGTTGTGTCCGCCGAAAAACTAAAAAAATAAATATTAAAATTCTCTCTCTCTTAAAAAAAAAAAAAAAAATTATTCATCCAAAAAGACAGCACATCAAACTATTCCATAAAGAAGAGGAGAAGTATATGGGCATGGTGGCACTATAATCCCAGCAGCTCAGGAGGCTGAGGCAGGAGGATCAGGAGTTCAAAGCCAGCCTCAACAACGGTGAGGTACTAAGCAACTCAGTGAGACCCTGTCTCTAAATAAAATACAAAAAAGGGCTCCGGATGTGGCTCAATGGTTGAGTGCCCCTTGAGTTCAATCAAGAAGGTGTTCTACTTGGAACAGAGCCTAAGGGGATGAATTAAGAATAATTCCTGTTGGGAACCGAGGCACATGTCTATAATCTTAGTGACTTGGGAGGCTGAGGCAAAAGGATCAAGGCCAGCCTCAACAACTTAGTAAGACCCTGTCACAAAATAAAAAATAAAAAGGGCTGAGGATGTAGCTCAGTGAGAAAATACCTCTAGATTCAGCCCCCAGTACCAAAAAAAAAAAAAAAAAAAAAATCCTTAAAAAAAATGGAAAAAAAAAAGTAACACACTAGGAATAGAAGTAGTATTTAAGGGAGAAAAAGTAATTTTTGTAAATCTCATAAATTTTTTGATGGCAACTCAGACAGTCTGTGAACAAACACCTCAGGGAAGATGACTTCACCATAGATATAGATATCCACTTTTAAAGATTCAAGGTGGGCTAGAACCTATGGGGCTAGTTAATTTAAATGTAAGGGCACAGAATCCTTTTCCATTTTAGTGTGGGGGCATTTTCAAAACATGAAAGAAGCATGGGTATTAGAGAAGAAAGCATCTCAATAAAGAATAGCTCTGCAGTGTCCAATATGGTAGCCACTAATCACAAATGGCTACTGAACACTCAACTTGTAGCTAGCTTGGGAAATAAATTTTCAATTGTATTTATATAAAACTTTAGTTTCTTAGTCACACATTTTAAATGTTCAATAGCCACATGTGGCAAGTGCTACCTTGTTGGAAAGCACAAATAACACACTGCTACTGTCACAGAAAACCCTATTAGTGCTATTTAGATACTTTACTAAAACACAAAAATGGTATCGAGACCACGATTTAACTCCTAAGCTTTTTTTTTTTTTTAGTTGTAGATGGCCACAATAACTTTATTTATTTTTTATGTGATGCTGAGGAGCAAAGCCAGTGCCTCACATGTGCCAGGCAAGCACTATACCACTAAGCCACAGCCACAGCCCTCGTAAACTATGTTTTAACAGTCTAACAGGCCCTATGCTAAATGCTGATGCATGACAGAAAAACCAGGTCAAATTTCTTACTCAAAACAACCTAGTGAAAAAGGCATAACCAAAAAAGAATGAGGTAAATGCTAATTAATGTAATTAATTCTACTAAACAAAAACATGATAGGTTTGGTCAGAATCAGATGACCATCTTCATGCATTAAGTAGACTGAGACACTGGGTACAGTCAAGTTTTGACATCAGTGAGCCCTGGGCTCATATCCCAGCTATATGCCCCTGAATAAGCTACTCAGTCTCTATGCTATCTTCTTATCTATAAAATGGGGGTAATGCTGGCCTACCTACAACATAAGGCTCTATCATTTGACTTTAGGGATAATGGAGCTTCTTCAATGAACACACTCTCCAAATTGTAACTTTTCAATAACTCAAAGAGGGTAGGTGAGGAATCAAGAAGGCTTCATGAGAGAAGTGCCATCTGAGACAGACTCTGACAATTTTAAGATGATCAAAGAGAGTGTTGAATGCTACAGTGGAGTACATGAAGCAGACTCTGGGAGCCCTTGGCTCTACCTCCGTACTACCTACAGTAGAGGGGATCTACATCATATCATAATTGGGGAACTGGGTCTCCTGAAAGAATCCTAGAATTTGGGGTCTGAGCCTCACCAGTTCAGAAGACTTGAAAATACCACTTAGTCACTTCATTTTTACTATCTGGAAAACAGATAGTAACGAACACTTCCTATACTACAAAGGGTCCACTGCATTATAGGGTGTCCAGAATAGATTCATTTCTTCCACCTGTTACGAAATTCATCAGGGTATTAAACAGCAGTGAAGGTGCCCATCTTTCCCCACCAGACTGTAAGCAACTTGAAGGCAAAGACCATGCCTTGCCTATGTGGTGGCGCCCAGAGGCTGAGATAGGAGGATCGCAAATTCAAAGCCAGCCTCAGCAACCGTGAGGCACTAAACAACTCAATGAGACCTTGTCTCTAGATAAAATACAAAAAATAGGGCTAGGGATGTGGCTCAGTGATCGAGTACCCCTGAGTTCAATCCTTGATACAAAAATAAATAAGTAAATAGAAGACACCATGCCTCACGCTGAGTAATCCATAGTCCATATCACCATGATTTACTGAATGCTACACTGTGTCTGACATTATGCTAAATGTTCATTTGGATAATCCTGTTTACTTCTCACTACAATTTGCTTATCTGAGCCTAAAGTTTTCCCTCATCTAAAAGCTCCTACTGCATAAGGCCCTAAGAGTTTTTTAAAAATGACAATGTATGTAAAGATATGAGCACTGCACCTGGCACATGATAAAGACACAGTACTATCAGTTATCACTACCTTCATGTTGCAGATAAGTTAACTAAGGGGCAGCCAGGTTAAGTTGCTGTGTTCAGTAAGTGGCAAAGTCAGGCTTAACTTCAAGGCAGTTGGCAGAGGCAACCTGCTGTAAATATAGTGTTCAAAACGGTGCCTGGCACATAACTGGCTGAGCCCAATGAATGTCAGTTCCTGAATGGGACCTGAAATCAATGGCAGGTGAGTGAGGTTACCCCATTCACAAGGCGGTTCTGAGGACTGAGTGTGAGGGTGTAAGTAGAGTGGCTGGCATGGAATAAAGCCTTTGTAAGTGGCAGCTCTCCTTGCTGTTTTACAGATGAGAAAAGAGAAGCACTGGGAGATGAAGAAAATCGCTCAGTACCACTCAGTTACTAAGTGGCTGTGCAGGACTCGGTCTATGCAGTGTGGCTCCACTGGCTCTAACTCCAAGTACCCAGCACAGAACCGGGCACACAGCAGGATGGGCCGGTTCGGGTGCCCAGTGCCGTGCCGCCAAGAGAATAATAGTCACAAGTGTCAGGAGCAGCCTGAGGGGAAATCTGAGCGCCTGAGCCCTGGTCCCGGGTCCCTCAGACAAGTACCTTACACCTTCCTAGGCCTCGGTTTCCTTCTCCTAGAAATGGGGGTAACATTGTCTCCAATCTCAGAAGCGCGAGCAGAGACTCAGCCTGAAAAGCAAGGATCGATTGAGAAGCTAAGGGTCGGCGGAGCGGGCGGACGGAGGACCACCCACCGCCGGGCCCGGGGTGGGAGGAGGCGTCTACCTTTGCGGAGCTCGCGGTGCCACACCGAGACGATGGGTCCTGCGTGCTTGCGGTGGTGGATGAGCCACAGGGACAGGGTCTGCACGCTCTGCTGGGAGTTGCTCAGCTCCGAGAGCTTCTTCTCCAGCGCCGACTCCGAGAAGGAGGACATAGTGGCGGCAGTGAGGCCCGGCAGGGAGCGGCCTGGGCCGCCCAGTGCGACGGGACTAGCGTGCGATTGGGGCCTCACCGGACAGACTGCGGGACGTTTTTGCCGACTGCCAGGGGCGCAAGGAGGGGGAGGGGATGGGCCTCCGCTGTAACAGCCGCCCGCGCCGCCGCCACAAGATGGCCACCCGACCTCTCACCCCCGCCGCGAGAGCGGGGTCAAAGGGCAAGGGCCAGAGTAGCCGGGCACCGAGAAGCGCCGGAGCTGTCGAAAAACGTTCCTTTGGAAGCGGCGGCCTCTCTGAGCCTTGTTCAGGCCACTTCGAAGGAGCCAGACCGCGGGAAAGAGGGCAGTTCCCCGAACCCCCGGAAAGCGCTTTGAGCGCTCCTGCCCGGACGCCGGCGCAGTGAGTCTCACCGGAGCCTTTTCTCCCGCTCCTCAGAACCTTTCTGGCGCGGTTCGGCGCGCTACTTAGCGCGTCATTTCCGGCGGGGCTCTAGAGGCGGGAGAGTGAGGGAAAGACTGGAAGACGAGGTAAGGGAAGAGTGGCGGGAACTAGAGGGAGCCCAGCAGAAGGAAGCCCTTGGAAGGGAATCGTGAGAGGACTATGAGGCCGAGAGGTCGTGACCTTGGTGTGGGAAGGGGGCTTCTTTCTCATCTGGCAGGCCCCGGCCTCACCTCCGTATGTGTCCAGCTCTCAGGCCGCCCCCCAGAAAGCTGCTCTTTGGGTCTTCCAGGACACCCACGTGCCTCCACGCCTTGGCTGTTTCTCACCCCGAGAGCCCCCACTCAGTTTCCAGATGACCCCTTAATGTCCAGTCCTGACATTCTGTCTGTGACCGCACTGCCCCATCAAACACCCTCTGGGCCCTCTGCCCTTAACTGGTTTCTTCATTGGGGAGTTACGTGCACCCTCCCCTCCCTTGCCCTCCCAGGGCGTCCATTGACCTCGCTGGGGACACAGTATTGGAGACTTTAAATCCTTACCATATATATATATATATTTTTTTTTTTTTTGACGTATTACATTCCGGTTATCAGATCAGAGAATTTTTTTCCCCCAACTACTACAGGGATAGTAGAAGGTTTTCATAGACAGCAGAATTTTAAAATTTCCTAACCATCATTGAATTTCCGAGTTGGGGGGCTGGTGCCAATTTAGGAAATATTGTTCTAGTTGGTATCTGTTTTTGTGCTTTCTTAGATATTGTTGTTCTCGGCTTATATGCTTTTATCCCTTCTTCAGACCAGAATCATCATACTCGGAGCTAAGATCCAGAGGTTGTTGTGTGCTAGACACTGTTTTCACCCAGTAACTCATTTAATCCTAACAACAAAGCTATGAAACAGGTATTATATTCTCTCCCGTATAACAAATGAGCCTCAGAGACGTCATGCCTACCCAAGATCCTGTAACTAAGATTTGAGGGAACAGACTCCATCTTAGCCATCATTTTAACTCTAGCACTTGAGTCATACTTGAGTTAATATAAGAGGTGAATAACCTAAAATCACAGTCAATATGTAGTCATCAACAAGTACAGCTTTTGAGTTCATATGTAGACTTCCTTCAATATTAAATAACATTGTCACATACTACATGCTTCTAAACCAAATTATGTGTATTCAGTGCATTACATAAATTCTTCTACTTAGCCCCTACAACAGTCCTGTGGGGTGGAATTATTATCACTATGTGACATATGAGAAAGCATAAAACATGGATAAGTAACCTAGCCAAGGTTATTTGGGCACAGCTAGGAAATGGCAGAGCTGAGAGTCAATCAAGGTTATCTGATGTCTGATCCCAAATTCTTCACTCCTGAGCCAGTGGTTCATTCAACAGATAATTTTTGAGCACCTAAGTCTGAAGCACTCTTGTAGGCAGGCAAAATACCCATATCTTTAGAAGCTTGCTTTCTACTGGGGAAGATAGAAAAATAAATATATGAGTCAGGAAATGATAAGGGCATTGAATAAAATGGAGGGTAAAGGAGATAAAGAATGTATATGTGTGGGAAGACAGGAGTCTATTGTATATGCTTGTAAGAAGGGGCCTCACTGATCAGATCCTGAAAGAAATGAGAGAACAAGCCAAAAGCTATCCTTCCAAGCAAAGGAAAACCCAACTTTTAGACTAATCGTTAGGTTGTTTGTTTGTTTGTGGTTTTTTGTTGTTGTTGTTATTTTGGTTTTTGTTTTTTTGAGGAACAGAAAGGATAGTAAGGCTGGAACCAGAAGAGTTGTTAGAAATGAGCCCAGAAAAGTAAACCACACGTGACAGGGACACTTGTATAAAGGACTTACATGTTACTCTGAATGAAAGGTGAATCTACTGGACAGTTTGGAACAAAGGAGGAGCATTGTATCTGTTAGGTAGAAAATAGTCATGGTACAAGAGAGGCGGGAACATCAGTTTGTCAACAGTTGTAATAACCCAGGTAAAAGGATGACTCAAGCCACATAGAAGTGGTGAGAAAGGGACAGATTCTGGGAATATTTTAGGGAAGACATAACAGGATTTGCTGGATATGGGATGCGGTGAGAGACGAGAGTTTAATAAATCACCTACGGGTGTTAGCCTGAGCAACCATAAGCATGGAGCTCCCAGTTACTGAGTTGCATAAAGAGCAGGTTTGGGGAGTAAAAGCAAGAGTTTGGATTTGGACATATCCAGCTGGAAATTTTTCCAAGTACAATATCTCAGTATTTTCAGGGCATTGATTCTAGGACACCCCCACCCACTGGCAGGTAACAAACTCCTTTGATAACAAATCTCATATAAAATGGCACAGTAGTTGCATATATCCTTACACATGTCCTCTTGTATAGTTTAAATCATCTCTGGGTAATTTAGAGTACTTAATACAATATAAATGCTATGTAAATAGTTATTTGTATTATTTAGGAATAATGATGGGAAAAGTCTAGATGTTTGGGGTTTTGTTTCCTTTATATGCTTTTGATCTATGGTTGAATCCATGGATGTGGGACCCATGGATACAGAGATTCAATTGTATACATAGGGGCCTAAGAAGCAATTGTGTTTATGATTCTGGTGTGCAAGGGAGAGCTCTGGGGTAGAGAGAAAAATATGGATGTCATAAGGAGAAATAAGTTCAGAAAAAACTTGAGTCCTAGGACACATCAACATTAAGAAGTCTGGAAAATGAAGATGGTATGATTATGTAACTTTTCTTCTTAAGCCTTTTCATATTGATTATACTGGTTGATTTTCAGATTTTGAGCCAGTCTTGCATCCCAAAATCCTTACACACCTCACTTTGTCTTAGTGTATAATTCTTTTTATTTATACTTCTGAATTCTATTTCTCGGTAATTTGTTTAGGATTTTTGCATCCGTATTCATGAGGGAAATTGATCTGTAGTTTAAAAAGTTTTGTATTGTCTTTGATTTTGGTACTATAATAGTAATAGCTTCATAAAAGGATTTGAAAAGTGTTTATTCCTCTTCTTTTTCTAAAAGAGATTGTGTAGAATTTGTGCTAATTCTTCTTTAAATGTTTGGTAGAATTTGCCAATGAAACCGTCTGGCCTGGAGATTCATTTTCATATTCCCGCCACCTCTGACACGTGGAGTTTTAAATGACAAATTCATGTGTAGATTTTGGTAGTTTGTGTTTTAGCCATTTTGTTTTTACAAAATAGATATGGCTTGAGTATGGTCTGAATGTTCCTCAAGGTTGCATGTGAAATTTAATTCCTCTCTGAGGCATTAGGAAGGTAGACAATCCGACTGTGAAATTTAGAGGTGAGGCCTTTGAGAAATGATTAGGATTATTTAAGGTCATTAGAAAAGTGACCCATAATTGAAATGGCTTCATAAAATGAGGATAAGAGCACACACAAGTATACACTCCCTGCCTCTTGCCTTGTGCCACCTCAAGAACTCTGCCAGCAAGAAGGCTGTCACTTGATGCAACTCCTAGACCTTGCACCTTCCAGAACTATGAGCCAAAATAAACCTTTTTTTTTTTTTAAGTAGCTTGCTCAGGTATTAAAGTCACAAAAAGCAGACTAATACAATCTAAGTTGTCAAATATATGTTTAAAGTTATTGATGGGCCTGCAGTGGTTCCATACACCTATAATCCCAGCAGCTCAGAAGGCTGAAGCAGGAGAATTGTGAGTTCAAAGCAACTTAGCAAGACCCTAAGCAAGACAGTGAGACCCTGTCTCTAAATAAAATACAAAATAGAGCTTGGGATGTGGCTCAGTGGTTGAGTGCCTCTGAGTTCAATCCCCTGTACCAAAAAAATAAAAAGTTATTGGTGGTATTCTGTATTGAAAATTTTTAACTGATATTAGTTAAATGTTTAACTGATATTAGTAATTTATGATATTCCTATTTCTCCCTCTCTAACTCATTCCCCTCTCCACCAAATTTTTTAAGTATTTTTTTTAGTTATTGATAGACCTTTATTTTATTTATTTATGCACAGTGCTGAGACTCAAACCCAGTGCCTCACACATGTATGTATGCTACCACTGAGCCACAGCCCCAGCCCCTCTGTACCAATCTTGCTAGAAGTTTGTCTATTTTACTGATGTTTTCAAAGAACCAGGTTTTTATTTCATTGATGTTCTTTATTTTCTGTTTTTAATGTCATTAATTTTTTGATCTGATCTTTATTATTCCCTTCCTTCTATTTGCTTTAGGTTTATTTTTCTCTTTTTCTAGGTTCTTGAGAGGTGAAAGTTTGGATTTTAGTTTTGAGACCTTTTTCTTTTTCTAATATATGACTTAATACTGTAAATTTTATCTCTCAGCTTGGCTGTATCTCTTTGCACAGATTTTGATAAAATGTTATATTTTCATTTTCATTCATTTCTATGTATTTTTGGTTGTTTCCCTTAAACTTCCTTTTTGTTCCATAGATTATGTAGTTTCTAGATGTTAGGAGATTTTCCTGTTATCTCTCTGTTAGTAATGCCAACCTTGATTCCTTTGAAGTTGGAGAACATTCTGTATATATATATTTTTTAATTTGTTGAGGTTTGTTTTATGGCTGAGCATATGGTCTATCTTTGTACATGTTCAACGTGCACTTGAATGTATGTTAGGCTCTCGTGGCATAGGGCTATTTCACACATTTTGTGGCTGTTGTTTTATGCTTAACCATTTAGTCTTACTATGTCTTCTTACCAGATTTACCCTTTAACCACTATCTTTTAACTCCTTTCTGTCTCTAGTAACTTGCCTTTACCAGCTCTAGTCAAGTATAAAAACCTTTCCTTTGTATCTCTTTTCCCTCCACTTATAATTAATTTTAAAATCTCATGCTTACATATTTAGAACTGCATCAGACATCGTTATAATTTTTGATTTAACTGTTAAATGCAATTTAGAAAACTCA